TTCTTCAAAGCTCGTTTTCCTTTAGGTAGCTTTACTAGCTCAAAGGTATTATTTTCATGTAAAGACTTCATATTATCTTATATGGCATCAACCCATTATTTCTTATGTTTATCTTCCATGGCTTCTATAAAATGTTTGAGTTCTCTTTTATCAATTAGTAGCATAAACTCATCAACAGAATGTCATGTGGGAGGCTATTGATCTCTAGTAAACTTCTTAAATGGAACTTTTAGTAAAACCTCTAGTAGATACTTTGATATTGGTGACTATTCATGGGTATCATGACCCACCTTAACATGTGTAGGACTGGTATCAACATCACTTGTATTATGTTGGTTATCCTGAATATCTTCAACCTCTTAAGAGAATTAGATTCAAGTCAATCAAACCATCACTGTATCGTCATCTTTCGAATATCATGTATAATCTAGTCATCAGTAAAAATAACATCTTTACTTCTCATAAGATTTTTTTTGCACAGGAACATAAAACTTGTAGCTAAAGTCATCCTAGCTATAATCGAGGAACACACACTGTCTAATCTTAACATTAAACTTGAACCTTTTATCTTTGAGAATTTGCACAAAAGCCTTGTATCCAAATGTGCACAAATTATCATAGGACACATCCTTGCTTGACCAAACTTTTTCTAGAACATTAAAATCTATAGGAACACATGGTGAGAGATTCAAAACTTGTACAACTGTACTCAAAGCCTTACCTTAAAAGGATTTTGATAATTATGCTTGTGAAAGCAAACATCTCACTTTTTCCACTAGAGTTCTGTTTATCCTGTCAGCTAACCTATTCAACTAAGAAGTTTTTAGGGGTGACGTTTGATGTCTAACCCCATTAGTTTTTCAACTAAGGCATGAAATTGTTTAAACACATCTAACACTTAGTCTTTTGTTTTCAATGTATAAGCCCATATCTTTCTTGAATGATCATCGATAAAAGTCATAAAATAGATGGAATTACCAAGTGTTTTGTTCTTATAGGACCACAAACATCAAAATATACTAAATCAATTATACTTGGCTTTCTTAATAAAAAAGATGTCTCGAATGTAACTCTGATTTGTTTCCCTACCAAGAAATGAGCACACTTCTTCAAGGATACATTTTTCACTTTAAAAAGAAGATTTTTCTTGGCCAAAACCTTCAAACCATTCTCACTTATATGACTAAGTCGCTTATGCCAAAGCTTAGTTGTATCATCATTATCTACTATATTGATAATGGAATTAAATACCTTTGCTTGCATCAAATATAATAAGGAATGTTTCATACCCTTAGCTAAATATATAGAACCTTTAATGAGCTTCCACTAACAATCACAAAAGGTGTTGCAAAATCCTTTATAATCAAACTTTCCTACAAAAATCAAATTTATATGAATATTGAAAATATATTTAACATTTTTCAAGACCAATGTAATACCATTATTGGTCTCCAAAAACACATCTCCCATACTAATAGCTTTAACTAAGCCATCATTATTTTTTCTAACACTCTCAAAATCACCAAATATGTAAGATATAAAGTAGTCTTTTTGAGATATAGCATGAATTATGGCACCACATTTAGTCACCCAACTAGTTTCATGGCATGTTAGATTAACAACTTCATCATCATATAAAATAAGGAAGTCATTTATGACAGTAGCAACGTTATCAGCATCATTACCATTATCATACTTCTTTTCCTTATCCTTGTCACTATTGTTATCTCATTTTAACTTTTGGCAATATTTTTTTATATGCCCCTTCATACTATAACATGGCACTCAATATTGGCAAATCTGTTGGACTTTTTCTTACTTTTGTCTTTGTTCTTTTGATCTTTACTTTTACTCCTTTTATAATTTTCTGTGACTAAAACCTCAGGCTTCGAAATAGAACCCTATAACTTTTTTCTTCTCTCTTCATTCAAAACATCATTCTTAGCCAAATTCATAGTGATAACACCATTTGGAGCTAAGTTAGATAACTTTGTTATACATTTTTTTCGTGAGTAGGGCAATGTACCAAGAAGCCATAAGCCTTATATATTATTTTTAAAATTAAGATTCATGCCAGCCAACTGATTAATAATATCTTGATATAGGTTCAAGTGATCAGTCATAGGAGTTCCATCTTGATATTTCAAATTCATCAACTACTTAATCAAAAATAGTTTATTAGTCCCAATTTTTTGGCCATACAACTCCTCAAGGTTGCTCCAATGAATGCGTGTATGTGTCTCTCTATTAACATTGTTCAAAATATTATCATCTATCCACTATCTAAAATAACCACATACTTGTCAATGAAACAAATTTTATTCTACATATGTTTTATTTTTAGGCTATTTTATGGTAAACACAGGTAAATAATAATCTTTTACATAAAGCAAATCTTCCATCTTCCTTTTCTACACATGTAATTTAAACCATTAAAATTAATCATTCTACTTGTATTTGCTTTCATAATTCAACACAAGACATAAATCAAATAACTTGGCTCTAATATCACTTGATGAGATAAAATAACCTCAAATAATATTCAAACTGAATGTCATGTAGTGAAAAATCAAATTATCTCTCGTGTGAATCTACTATGAATCAAACAAATAGAGTTAACAAATAGATCTTCAAACTACAAGCACAAAGAAACAAGCAATTTTATGTGGGAAACTTCCCCAAAACGATGAGTAAAAACTACAGGTAACAACAAATAATCTCCACTATTAAAATAATAAAACTACAAAGTTCTCTTTGTCTAAAACTAGAAGTATATAACCATAATATTTCAAGATTAAATAATCTTGTTAAATAAACAATTTTGTAAGAGAAAATTACATAAATCTCACTAAATTTAGGAATTAACAAACACCCACGAAATCAATAGATAGAAAACTTGACACCCAATCATTACGGTTCAAACTAAAGAACAATGACTCATGAATATACTAATAAAATTTCAGCTTAATTAGACCATAAATTAACTGCAATCAAACTATTTAATCGAAACTGCACAAACCCGCTTTTCTCTCATTTCTCTCTATTTGGCTGCCACTTCCTCTTTTTCTTTTCCAGCCGTATAAATGCAATTATATAATGGTTTAAAATCATATAACCATGCATGAATGAAACTAAAAAATCTTTGATATATAGGCTTTGGTTTTAGACCAACTCCACGTGGGAGAAAACCAAGCCCCACAACTTGCTGAAGGTCTTCGTTGCTCCCAATGCAACTTCTCCCACCATTTTGTATTCACAAGCAAGCCTTTTATAAATTGTATATGTACCTCATACCTTACACGCTTAACTCTTAATTATAATGGCAAACTGGGATATTGGTGACATTTAAGATTGGTTTCTGTGATGTGCCTTTAGGTTGGAAATGCTGGTAATGACACTCTAAATCCAGTGCCTAATGACATAAATTGCTGGCGAAGGCCTGAAGACATGAGCTATAAGAGGCCTGTTTCAGTTTGTGATGAGACAGCTTCTGATTTGACGGGGGAAATTGTTGCAGCACTATCAGCAGCTGCAACAGTATTCAAAGAAGAGAACGAATATTCACTAGGATTAATTAAAGCTGCGGAGAAGTTATATGAGATTACAGAAAAGGCAGACCAGATTCACAGAACTGAAACTTACACCACTATTGATACTTATGGAGGTGAAGCAATAAAGTTTTATAACTCATCTGGTTACAGAGATGAGTTGGTTTGGGAAGGAACTTGGTTGTTCTTTGTTACTGGGAACTACACTTGACTATGCCACCACAAACTTTGCTACAGCAGCTACTAACGAAATAATAGCTGACAAAAGGGAATTTCTATTGGAATAATAAGCTTAATGCCAATGCGGTAATTTAAGTAAAAACCTTTTATGAGGTTTTTGTAAGATTCAATTTCGTTATGCGGTGCATTAATGGATTTTAAATTCATTACCAAGTATATTTGCTTTGTAGGTTTTGTTAACAAGACTTCATTTCTTTCGTGATCTTGGATTTCCCTATTAAGAAGCATTGCGGTTATCTTCGAACATGACCGATCAGCTTATGTGTTCTTATCTTTCAAAGGAAAACTTCAATAGAACACCAGGTAAATATTTTCAATTAATGTGTATCTTTCATGCATTTTTATGCAAATGAATGTCTGCTTTCTTGGATCATTTAATCATTTTTAAAATTCTATGACCTTATTGTAGGTGGATTGATCCTCTTAAAGCCTGATTATGATGGACCACTCTAGCTGCATCAACTGCATCTTTCTTGAGTAAATTATACAAAGATTACCTTACTCCTCTTCTAGATCTGGTGGGAATTGCACCGATGATGGTTTTTCTTTAGAAATGTTACAGTGCTTCTCCATTTCTCAGGCAAGTCTTATCTTTCAATAAGAAGTATGCTGCTCTTAGTCTTGCAATTTAAAAGCAGTTGTTTAATTCTCATAGAGGTTTTATTTCCTTATTCTTTTAAACAGGTTAATTACATTCTAGGAGATAATCCCAGGAAGATGAGCTACATGGTTGGCATTGGAGATCACCATCCAAAACAAGTTCATCACAGGAGTGCATCAATTCCTTGGGATGGTCAATATCACACTCGTGCTGAAGGTGATAGACGGTTATGCTCTCAAGATCAAAATCCAAATACACTTTTGGGAGCAATGGTAGCTGGACCAGATCAATTTGATGATATCTCTGATGAAAGGTACAAGCCATGGTTCACAGAACCAAGCATAGCAAGCAATGCTGGTTTGGTTGCAGCATTCATTGCACATCATGACTCTCCTCGCATTTCTTCTGCTTCTAGTGACCCTAATTTGAGGTTGGACCAGATGGCAATCTTAGAAAAAGCTCATTTGGATTCTTAAGTTCCTTGACAACATTATACTTTGCTTAAAGTTCCAATGGGGTAGGAGAAGTTCAGTTGCTAACACCTGAGAAAATAAGTTTTGACCTTGGACAAGTTTCCTTGAGCACATCACACATTCTCTTTTTGTAATTACTATTTGATCAAGTGACAAGGAATGTGCATAACTCAAATTGATGTACTTTTAATTTTCTACTTTCAGACTTCTTTGCACATTGTCTGCAACACAAGTGGAAGTCCTCCTAGGCTCATACTAACTTTGACATCCATTCTGTCATTTTTAAAAGAACTTCCAATTTTTTTGCCCTTGAAAGGCCTTAGAATGGGAATAAATGCTGCGGTTGAACAGTTTTGGTCTCAGATTTCCTAGTTAATTTTTACTCGGTTAGGCCGCCAACTACCATTTTAATACAGACATATGCTTAATGAGACCAACTCAAGACTAATAATTGGGTTTTCCCTGATGCAAACATTTGTACAGAGAGTGGAAGAGCTCTTTAGTGAATCCTCTTTACATTAGATGTCTAGATACATTAGAAAAACGTAGCTGTTGCAGCAGATCTTGTTTACAACTTAGAAGTCTTATTTACAGATGCATATTTCCACCAAAAACTGGGGTTGGAGAAGACTACAATCCATATATTAGAAAACCAAGCTCCATATGCTTTTTCTTGTCTTTTTCTTCTGACATATTCTCCTCAGGTAGACTTTAACCTATCCAATCGATAAAATCTCTGCATAATCAAGAAAATAAGCATTAAACGATGAACTAGAAGCTGGATAATACATTAACATTGACAAATTTCCTCACCAGGATAGAGTGGATCTCTTCTAGTAAAGGAACAAGTAATGAAATTAAGGTCTGCATATCCTCTTTAAGGTTGTCATAATTTTGATCTTTTGTCAGGAGGAGACTAATGAATGTTTTGTTATCAGGCACGAGTTTCAGCGCCACCTACAAACTTTGCACCTGTTAGTTCATGATGGAGACGACTAATAAGGCAATGTTATATATAGTACTGTTGCACAATAGTGAAACATTACTTAAAGAACATGACAATTGATGACTTATATAATGTGTCACTGAAACTATGGTAGTCAAGATAGAATTCTAAGCAATCCTGGAATATTATGCCTAAGCTAGAAATTTAGCCTCAGATCCTGTCATCTAACGAAAGCTTTTTCTTGAATAAGTGGGCCAGGTCAAGAGAAAGAACTGCTAAATCATCAACACTTGAGACTCATAGTGAAATCTGAGGGAAAAAATTGTTGCTAAGGAGCAAGAATGACCAAATACCTTAAAAGCAGCCGATGATATCCAACCATGCCATGGCTTCAAAGTAATATTATAGGACTCTTCAACTGCTTGTTCTATGTTCTGCTCAGGATCCTTAACCAATCGTTGTAACAAAGCTACCATAAAATCCATTGACCTGATCAAGAGGGAAACAAGTTTATTTGCTTTCAATTAAATATTTTTCACTAAAACTATTAGTATAACTTAATGATATTAGACCAAGAGCAAGAAGTATATCTATGTTTCTTCAAGTGTGCTCATAAAAGTTCTTCCTTGATAATTGAAACCAAGACTGGCTAGGAGGTTTCCAAAGGAAGCATTGGTTCTATATTCATCTCTACATTTGCAAGTGCCAATGATTGCAAGTTAATAATGTCAATGAACCACATTTTTTTTATCAAGTGGCAAGGGATTACTAAGCTTTTCCCAGTACAATCCTTCCCGGACTGGTCCAAGCAGACTTATTTATGTTGGGTTTAGTGAATTCATGGGAAATAACCTTCCCACAACCTCCCAGCAAATTCGAACCCAGACAACAAAAGAGAAGCTCACTCTCTTTACCACTTGACCCAACCAACTGCTGCATGAACCACATTTGCTTACTAACATTAGCAATGCATGAATAAGGACAAAGACAAAGCTAGCAGCATATTCTTTAGAAACTGCAACCAGGGCAATGAAAATGTTAAAAGAATAAAAAATAGTAACAGCTTGTCTATGTTTCTCGTAGTAAAAGACAAATCATAACATAGTAAAGACCTATAACAGAGAAGGTCAAACATAGCAGACCTTAATAGTTTATTAAAATTTGGTATGTCAAAGACTACCATGTATACACAGCTGCAACTTATGGTAATATGGTGCTTAATTACCGGATAAGCCAGAGAAAAGCTCTACTGCAGCTGGTACCCTTTCTTCTATTGCCTTCACTGTCTTCTTTTTTCAACATCTCAATCAAATTCGAATACTTTGCGGGATCGGATTCCCAAAGAATCTCCAATCTCTAAAAATGGAGAGAAGAGAAAGAAAGTTCCATCAATGTTCAAATAATCCAGAAAATGACAAAAAAAATTTCCTTATAAGGACAGAAACACCCATGGAAATATTGGTGAAACGACAAAAATAAAACAAGTTATGCAAGGTTTATTGAAAAGTCTCAAGGGTGTCCTTGTCATGCAAGAAAAGTCAAGCAGACACATTAAATGGAAAAACTAAGAGGAAAGATTCTACTATTATGCTGTGATTTACTTTTAACCTGCATATTTTGATGAATGTCTTGTCTAAGGACAGCCATAGTTGGACCTATCTTATCTGCAAAATAACAAATATGTAGGAAAAGGAAGTTTATTTGACATCCATAGACGCACATATCTGAAGAGAGATGAGGAGAAGAAGTAGAGAAACTAACCAAGAACTTGAAGAATCAAGGTGCAGACATGAAGAAAAGGCTTGGTTGGTATATGAATAGCAGTATGATTATCGCTAGGCTGAACTTTGGCTAATATGGACAGCTCTTCAATGGCAGACCTTAACTCTGACCTTGTTTCTGTTTCCCTTTTTCTCTTCATTTCTATCTCCAAAACTTCCTAGTTTCTTCTCTCTTGATTCTTGATTCTAGCTTCACCTTTTATACTTCACAGATGACTTTCCTGAATTTTTTTTTTTTTTATGGACTATAGACAGAAACTAAGAGATTTAATTAGTATCTAGAATTTATTCCAATAGATATATATGCTTGAATTAAAATAACAAAACTCATTTGTTACTCAAGAAAATAACTGGCAGGTGTGGACAAACTGAAACCCTTTTAAAAAAAATTTTTTCTTTTTGTTTTTATTGTTTAATAGTCCTTTCTCTGGCGACTTTGTATTTGACATTGAAGTTATCTATGAGCTATATAATCTCATATATAAGAGAGATGGTTTTTAAGATCTCAACTGTATTCTTTAGCCTGAGTTTTGATCTCACAATGACAGCGTGAAATGTTTTGAGTCCTTGATGAATTAATATATACAATCATCTTGGCCAAACTGAAAAGATTAGGGAGCAAAACAGACTAGAAATTCTAAAATTGAAGCATGGATTTAAAAGAATTTTATGATTTTGAGGTCTTAACCACGTATAAATCTATGATCCCGTTAAAATTTATAAGGTTATTGAGTCCAACTGATCCATGCCACTTCACCAATTTGTAATACCAATTGTGTCTCCCATACTCAACTATTTACTCGAATTGGGATATATAGTCTTTTTATAGTGAAGAAAGTTTTATAGAATTTTGTATTTTTGAAATGATGCCACTAAAAACCAAAGGTTTTATCTCGTATTAAGGTTTAAGTTCAATTTTGTAAGTGTGAAAATTAAAAAAAGAAAGCGGATATCCAATATTTTGATAATGGCAGGCCTCAATGTTGGATGTTTCAAACTGATTCATAAATTAGTCAGACATGGATGAGAAAACAATGGCAGCTGACGCAGGGTGTGAAATTAATGCAATGGATTCTTTTTAAGATCAAATAAATTAACAATAATCAAAGAACAATTACAACATGACACACTTCTTCATGGAACACTACTACCCAACCCTCAAAACCTAAAAAAATAAAAAGAACAGGAAGAAAATTTTAAGTGAAGATCCAAATTTTAATCAAGCACCGATGATATATGCATGACAGCTATTCGAAGAACTTGGGTTAAGATTCAAACATATATAGGAGTTAAACAAAATTAATTCTATTTGATTTTTTTTGAGGCATATATCAGAAAATTTAAAACATGAATGAATCTGAAACTTAATACATTTAATTCATATAGCTATTTTTAAAAGATGATATTCAACATGTTTGAGATTAAATCCCAACAACTGCAACTTGTTTTTTATTCACATATTATGATCTCATCTATTAAAAAAAAAAATACAAGTGTGAATGCGATAAAATTCCTTCAGGGCAACCCCATCTTTAGTCAAGAGAGATATAAGTAAAATACAACGGTTGTATTAATTAGAACAAAAAAATAACCCACATGATGATGTAAATTTATTAGTGTTAGTCCTTTTCTTTAAGTATATATTAATAAACCATTGAAGTAGTGTTAGGATCAATGACATGCTGACAACATTTGTTTGATTTTTCTAATCACTTCTGTTTCTTCTAAGCATAAAATAAAATAATCAGTTCTTGGTACAGTTGTGTTAACAGTATTCTTGTGCATATAATCAAACCGACTATATTTATCATCGTTTATTTCTTAAAGTTCAAAAAATCATGAGCACTAGTGTTGGACAAATCAAGATTAGATGTATAGCTCTATATATACGACTAAGAAAGGAAATTAAGATATAAATATAAATATAAATTAAAATATATATATCCCCTCTTGAAATTCTTTTAAATTAGTATTTTACTATTACAGTTAATAGAATGCTTTTAAGAAAAAGTTTCATAAAATGTAAAAGTAATAATGAATTAGATTTGATCGAATTTGGTTCTATTATTTTAGTTCACGCATAATATTATTAATTTTAAAATTTTAATATTAATTCGAAGAAACTTTCTTAAGAAATTGAACTGATCCAACTAATTTTATTTGTTTAGTTTATTAATTTTTTAAAATTAATTGATTTAAAATTTTTTATTATTTTAAATATATTTTAATAAATTTAGATATAAGTTTTTTATTTTATAAAAATTTAAAATATATATAATTTAATAACAATATATAATTTAATTTGATTAGAACATTTTCTATTTTTTATTTTTCAATTCAAAAATCAAATCAAATTAAAATATAAAATATCCAAACTTTTGTCATTGGTTTCTTGCATTCTTAGCCACTAGAAATTGATATGGTAGCTTAAGCTATCAGTGAGCTTAAGATAGCTTTAGTTCACATGACTAGTAGCAATGCTCCCTCTCAAGAACATGGAGCTTTAAGATCTCTGTATCCTTACTGAAACAGATGTTGGGGAAGCTTGTGGGAGATGGTGGTCCTTTTGCATCCCCATAAATTCATGTTCTATCCGGCTCATGCCAACAAAGATTGTGTCACTACATTAGGCTTTTAACTGGCCCAGCTCACCAAGGACAACCCAATCAGATTATCAGGGGCGTAGCTAAGGGGTTGGCAGGGGCAATGGCCCCCTCCAAAAATATTTTTTTTATACCATTTTAGCAGTATACTTTAACTTACCAAAAATAATATTTAGTCTCCTCTCTTTTATAAAATTACTATTTCATCCCTTCTTTCTCGTCTTACTAGCTTCGCTTCTGAATCCAATGGGCTTGAAATTTACAGCCTTTCCCTATTGGCCCCCACTTGAAAACTGCATCTGCTAGACAGTCCTGTTGATTGATTTTCTGGTACCGTAGCACTTTTAGTTATTGTTTACTTTCCTTGTCCTATGCCATTGATGAAAGCCAGCTTATGGTGACTCTTGATGACATTTTGGTCTTGTAAATATACAGTTGATGACAGTGATAATTTTGAAAGATTTTAAGCTCTAGTGTCATATATTATCCTGTCATTCAAATTAATGAAGCTGAGTCGGTGTTAAAAAAAAAACCCTAATTTGCTACATATTTTCAAACCTATACAAATGACTGTTAAAAAAAAATTACCAATGAACTAAAGCACAAGACTGGAGACTGGCAACTAAGAAGGTGAACTAACCAGAGGTTCTGATGATCTAGAGAAACTAGACCAATGAACTGCAGCTTCATGTTGTTTGCTATTCCTTTGCCGAGAAGATTTGGTTTTTCATAATCCTCATTCTCATGCCTGATCTCCTTCAGCATTGCTGTTACATCTCTCATTGTGGGTCGATCTTATGGACATGGATTGACACATATAAGAGCCATCCCAAGCACTTGAAGCATCTTTTGGATTTGTGTATCTGATATTAAGAGGAGCAGCTGGTCAAGAATGGTTGTGATGAAGTCTTTTTTCCTTTCACGAAGTTTTGTGTTAATCCAAGTGATAATGTGGATGCCATCTGGAATACTGTTAAAACTTCTAGAAGCACCACACCAAATCTTTACACATCTCTCGTCTGTGATCCTCATGTTGTATCCATACTCTTCAAATTGTCATTATGTCAAGAATGGATTAGCTATGTACGTTTAGATTTGAAAATTTATAATTAGATATAATTTTAAGAGTTGTTATTAATTTTTTTTATTTAAATGTGATTGATCACATAATTGATTCTATCTTCTTTTGAATAGAAGTCTTAAACTTGACTTAAATATCTTTAAAAAAATATATTATAGTTTATAAAAACAAAATTAGGTTTAAAAATACGATTACATACAAAGAAGATTATAGCATCCCTACAACACTTATTCAAAAATGGTATCAGTTTATTTTGTGTTATCCAAAACCTTCAAATATTTTTAAAATTTATTGAATAATTTATTGTTTCAAAATCAATAAAATCCTCTAATAATTTGGTAATGTTTTATTTTGAGATTAAAATCCTCTAATAGTTTTATAGGATTGAAAAATAAATTTAACTTTCTTTAAAAAAAATAATTAAATCTTTCAATAATTTAATAAAATTAATTTGAAATTTAAAACCTCCATTATTTTGATAGGCTTGGAAAAAAAATATTTGTGAGTTTACTTAAATGATAATTAAACCCTCAAATAGTTTGATAGGATTTAATTTTATTTTCAAAAAAATTTATTATTATTACTTTTTATATTTTAAAACACCCGTAATCAAAACAAATAATAAACAATAGAATAAGATAATAAAAATAGAAAATAAAAAAATTTTACCAATTATTGGACTAAGTCCAAGTTGAAATCCAAAAAAATTAAACTTGGAACCAAATTAAATCTTGACTCAAGCTTGAAAAATGAGGGTTAGATGACTTAGGCCCATGATTGGGCTTGAATTTTCTTCATATAGGCTAGGGCAAATTGTTTTCATTGGGACAAACCCAAACTAATATGGGCTACTACAACTAGGTCGAAGGAATCTAGTTCCTTAATGCCAAAATGCTACAGTTTAGATCGCTTTAAATAACCAAAATCTTTATTTTTTACTTACTTTTGTTCCATTCTCTCTTTCTAATTTTTTTTCACTTCTCACTAATTTTCTGCTAAAGCCCAAGAATTTTAAGACCAAGAACACTACCCACAAGGTACGTTAAATTTCCCAAAATCTGACAATGCTTCGTCAAGTTGTCACTATTCATCTTCAGTCATCGGTGCCGATTGGTTTCTAAATTTTTCCTAAAAGTTCCTCTTGATTTCCTCTTCATTGTTGTGAACTTAGATTATCTAAAAACAACCTCTAATTGTGTAGATATGAGGCAAAAACTATGGTTTATTTATCATCGTTTCACCATTTTTTCATTCTATTTGACCTAGATTTCACTATGTTTATACCACTCCTTTGTTCTGCCCTTTATTTGAGCTTTCCATGATCCAAACTGAAACCCAAGACCAAAATCACTTGCAACGTGTTCTGCTACTGTCTATTCGCCACATACAATATCACATCCCTACCAACATTTCTAGCCTTCTTTTTCTTTGGTTCTACCAATTCCTAACTCTTGAAAGAAACCTTAAACCAAATGAACCCTAAAACCCAAAAAATAAAGTACTACTAGCTTTTTATTTTGAGATTTTTTTTCAATTACTTGTTGTATTTCTTTTGTGTGAA